CCAATATAACCTTCTCATAAATTTGCCTATATTGAAACCACCCTAATTTAAACCCTTTATTTTCCAGAATTTCCTGCTTTGCTATCATAACCTTCCCTTTTTGTCTTTCTATCAAATCTTTATATGTAACCCAATTATCATCCCTATCCATCTCTTTTCTATAAAATGCTTCTTGTGGGGATAACCACTTAGGGGTCTTATCCATTATTCTACTCTTATATTTATTCTAAATACTCAACAAGGTTTTCCTTATAATATGGTTATTAAAAGCCTGATTTGTTTTTTCCTTGTCATACACCAAGTAGGCATGCAAACCAAATTTTATTCCTTCTCCCTCTAGTTCCAAAAGCCTCTTTTTTTCTAGTTTTAGCCAGTCTTTTGTCCAATTCAACACACTGGTATAATGTTTTTAATAATAATAATAATAATAAATAATAATAATAATAATAATAATAATAATAATAATAATAATAATAAAAGTTATTTATACCCCGTCCCTCTGACAAGCAATTGGGGTGGCAGTTCCAATTAGCAGTTCAAGTTTTTTTTTTAAAAAAAAGCAGCAGAAGTAGAGAAAAGCAACAACATGGTGAACAATGCAACATGTTACTTTTATTGCTATGACTAACAAGAACAGATAACGAGGAACGACTTAGGGAGCTGTGTATGTTTAACTTGGTAAAGAGAAGACTGAGAGGTGACATGATAGCCATCTTTAAATATCTGATTTCATGTAGAAGATGGAGTGAGCTTGTTTTGTGCTGCTCCAGGCACCAGAACGTGATGCAATGGGTTCATATTACAAGAGATTCCACCTAAACATTAGGAAGAACTTCTTGACTGTAAGAGCTGTTTGACTCTGGAATAGATTGCCTTGGAGGGTAGTGAACTCTCTATTTTGGAAGTCTTTAAGCATGAATTGGATAACTGTTATAGGATGGATCCATGACAGTTAAAATGGTGTCAAACTGTGTTATTTCTGCAGTGTGTCAGCAGCCTGTGACACTTCATTCAAAAATAATTAGTGATGCAACATCAAATTACAGAACAAATGCTACAGCAGAGCTCAGAAAACTGAATATTTTGAACTACAAATCCCAGATTCCCACCACCACAACCATGCTGATTGGGGATTCTGGATATTCCAATCCAAACATATAATATTTCCAAATATTGCAGTCACAGCAGGAAGTGTGAGGTGGGGGTCAATTGCTTGCTTTTCTTGTCTGATAAAGGAACAGAAAGTTTATGCTCTGTTGATATAATGTAGGCATGGCTAAAAAGCAACCCTAGGACTTTGTGTGCCTCCCATATCTAATATTTTAGCCCTGAAGCATTCAGACACTTCAAAGTATCCTTTTTCTGCCCCCTGCAAAGGGCGATTACCTTTCCTGGAAGCCTACAGAAGCAAAAATTCATCTCTTCTTCCACCCACTGCATTGTTAAACATTATGTTGGGGGTGAGGAAGGGGACCTGTTTCTCATAATCAGAGGTATAATGAAATGGCTGGTTGCTGTTTTTTAACCTACATAATTCAGTCTAGCATCAATGAGGTCCTGCTGCTACAAATCAGCAATGTGCCATCCTCCCAGTATTATGGTAGGCTTATTATTCATTTGATTGGAGCTATCATTATTCTAACTTCCAAACTGACATTGACATTCACCTCCCACATCCCAGCCTGAATTACAGCAGCCTGACTTCAATACAGCTTCACCTGTTGGAGGTACGGATGGTTTTCAATGTGAGAATCATTTCAGTGTCACTCGTAGTGTAAATTTTGCATTTCTGGGCAATTACGGAGAAACATCTCCTAGATTCCTTGCAATTGTGGCTAGGAAACCTATAGTCCTCCAGATATTTTGACCATATGTTCCATCTGGCCATGGTAAAATGTATCTTGATTATATCTCATTTGGATTAATGTAATGCATGCGACATTACATTTGCCCTTGGAAATGGTAACTGCTGAGCAGGGCTGGTTAGTGGGAAGATATAATTTCTCTGCTTAAACTGCTGCATTGGCTGCAGATTCATTTCCAGGCACAATTCAAAGCGAGGGTTATGCCCTATAAAGAGTCCTATTCAGCTTAGGTTCAGACTGTCTGAAAGACTGTCTCCCAATATGGGCCTTCCTGAGTATTAAGATCCCTGGGACAGGGTTGTCTTCACTCACTTCTATGCTTCAGGGTTGGCAAAGACATGGGACAGAGCCTTCTTGAATTCTCTTGAATTCCCTCCCATGGGAGGCTCAATTAATCCCCCCTCTTTTCTTTTTCTGCCAGCAGAAAAATACTTTTTATTTACCCTAGCTTTTGAGTGTTAACTGGCCATTGCAGAAGGTTGCAATGCTTAATTGCAGTGTGCTGCATTTTTTAGCTATATTATATGTTTTGAATGTGTTTAAACTCTTTTGGACATCTCAGTTGGGACTGTCTGTTTAAATTTTTTTAAAGCTTTTGGATTATGTGTTGTTTTATCTATATTTTGTTTTAACTTATATGTAGTTTTAACATACATTATAAATTATCTTTGGACCCATACTGAGAGGAAAGTACAATATGAAATCAATCTAAGCAATCAATCAATCAACACCCAATCACTATGGCCAATAGTTAGGGAATTGGGAAATTGCATCCAAAATTTCTGGAGGGCCAAAAATTCCCCAATCCTGCATAGAATAGCACAAACTGGGTCTTCTAAGATCCAGTGTGTTTCCTTCCTTCCCCCACCCACTCCTTCTCTCTCCTTCTCTCTCTCTAGCACACACACACACACACACACACACACATATAATGAGGCTGGCTTGATTTGTGTCTACTCTTCATAGTTGCCCCTTGGGTTTAATATCAAATGGAGGTAGTGTTCCTTCAGTTCAAAGTGCATAGTACTGAAGTCCATTTTAGGTGACAACTGAGGTAGAAAATTCCATTAGGACCTCTCCAATTCTGGATCAGTAAATATATAACAAAAAAACTATAACAAAAATTATAAGAATATCCCATTTTAGTCATGACTAAAGTAAACCCAGAGAGACTGACTGTGGCATAGTGGCTTGAGTGTTGGACTACTACTCTGGAGACCAGGGTTTGATTCCCAGGTCAGCCATGAAACCATTAGATGACCTTGGGCAAATCACATGCTCTCAGCTTCAGGGGAAGTCAATGGCAAGCCTCCTCTAAATAAATATTGCCAAGAAAACCCCAATATCGCTTCACCTTAGGGTCACCATAAGTTGGAAATGACTTGAGGGCACACAACAACAACGTTAGCCCATTGAATCAATGAGATATCCAACATGTGAACTCATCATTCAACAACTGATTTAGTGGATCTACACTAAGTGGAACTAACCAATAGGATTCAGGCCATCTGTTGTGTGTCCAAACACCATGCAAACTTAGGTTGGCATGTACACATATCAGAGCTTTCTCTGTAACAGTATGCTGATTGTGAAAATCCCTACCCATGGAAGTTAGGCTGACTCCATCTTTTTTGAGCTTCTAGCAGGAAGCCAAAACAGTGCTGTTCCATGTGGCCTTTGAGATTTGAAATTGTTCTGTTTTAACTGTTTTAAAATTTAACTGTGTTTTAGGATTGTTTTTAAAAGTTTTAAAATAATATTCTAATGTTTCATATTCATGTTGTTTTAATTGTCTTTGTTCGTCACCTCAGGAGCTCTTTTGGATAGGGAGGCAATATAGAAATATCATCAGTCAATAATTGTTTTTATTTGTTCATCACTGCAAGATCCCTTCTGGGCAGGGAGGCAATATAGAAATATAATCAATCAATCATCAGTTAAATGTGGTAGATCAGCTAATAAATTTGATGTGTAGCCTATTTTGGAAAATGGATTGAGAAATGGTCAATAGTAGCTTCCATGTCAGTAGCCTAGGCAATGACTCCAAGCCAGCTTTTAATCTAAATTTTAAAGAGCAACTCAAGGTGCTGAACCAATCCTCAAAATCAGTTTTACACCTGGATTAATTCCTTCAAAGTTTGGAATAACACTTGGAGTGGATTTATGTTCTCATTGACATGGAAGCCATCATCCACTGGTCTTGAGAAAGAGGCCAACTGTAATGCGTGTTGGACATCCTAATGCAGGATTGACTAGGGACTCCCCTCTAGTGGCCTAGATATTTGAAGGCAAACTGGTATATGAAGGGGATAGTGTGAGCCTGGGGTTAGCCTGGGGTTAGCCCTCAACCCATATTAACCCTTGGTAGTGGGAAACAGAACTCATCTTTTTGTAGCATCCTCTGTGTGATCAACAAATAATTGACTCTACGGTTTTTTCAACTTTCATCTTCAAAATCAGCTGCCCAGGTGGACACTTCACTCTATATAATGCACGGGGATCATTCCCCATTGACATTTTATCTGCCACAACATTGACTGTGATGCAAGTGAAACTGGTCTCACACCTCTACTGGTTTCCAGTTTGGGCTGAAAACCAGGCTCATTTGTGGAAGGGATTTATTTTATTATTTAAAAAAAATTGAATGCTCATGAGGTGGAACAAGGGAACTGCCACAATTTGTGACCATTGGGGTATTTTGTGTAAATTTTGGCTGAATTCTTTGCCACTTTTTAAAATAGGATGGTCAAGGGCTTTTGGGAGGCTTGTGGGGTAGCCTTTGGGCTGCATCCCACTCAACTAATGGTGGGGCCTCATGGCATCTGAAGTGGGAAATCTATTCTGGGCCACTTTACTATTTCAAATTTCACATGGGAACTCCCAAAATTCAATGGCTTTCATAAGAAATCCCTTTTGAGAAATAACAAGCAAGTCAGCAAGAACCTGAGCCATAGTCCTTATTCTTGACATCTTACTTGTGCAAACTTGCAGGGATGGGTGGTGGCTCGTGGGTCCATGGGGCTGTGAAATCGACTCTGATATTCTGCCCAAACTAGCTAGGGGGTTATTCAGATGTTAGGGGGTTATTCAGACATTGTTGCTGTTTTAGTGCAACTATATGAATAATCTCACTCATGTGTTCCAGTTTTGTTGTTCACATTATTTTTTTATTGGAACTGCATCAATGCACATCTCTGCAAGTTACTGGAACTGCGAATAAAGATAGAATCAATGATGCAGATATATCTGAAACACATTTAAGGCATGCAGGTTTTATCTCAGTTTATCCCAGGTCTATCTGCATTGGTTATTCACACAGCCAATAGTGCAAATCTTTTAGGAAAAACCTGAGATCAATCATCCCAGGTTAATGCCCCCATTGCATTCAAAATGCATACAAACAACAAAGATTCAACCCATACTCTACTGGGATTATTTTCACCATCTGAATAACCTCAAGCTAAAGTGCAGAACCTATTGTAGAGAAAGAGTTCAGTATCTTAGATAACTCATTTAAAGTTGATTTCTCATTTGTCATGGGAGGAGTCACTAGCCCCTAATGCAGAGTTGCTGAGTTTAATTCGTGTGAGTATCCCTCCTCCAATTTGAAATAGTGCAATTCAGCTACTGGTTTACTATCCCCTAAAGAACGTACCATCCTCTTCTTCACCTGGGTTTAGGGAAAGTAGAAGCAAAACCCCACTTGGAGGTTAATTGTGCACTATTTTGCTTGATCTTTCTGGGAAAGGTCTTAAAGAAGGGCTCATTTAAGGTCATGAGGCAGAACGTAAGCAAAGCAAGTGGTAAATTAGATTTAGTAAATTCTTGCTAAGTCTTACATTTTTCCAGCAGCCATACAAAATTCAGTTCAACTTTATAATCTCTATTTAGGAGTAAGCTTCACTGCAACAGCTCTCAGGTATGGAAAGTACTATGCATGCTTGCTCAGAAGTAAATGTCCATGAAATAGCTTCATGGGCTGTTGGAGCACTGGCAAGGGGCAAGTAAGAGCAACTGGAATTATCAAAGGCATCATGTTTCCTTAGCAAGGAAGATGAAAGAGTTTGCACCATTTGAGTTCAGGAAAAAGGTGACTGGTGATAAGGAGGTAATAAAATTTTGTAAAGGTGTGAATGACATAAGAGTCCGTGGAGAGATATCTTTATACCTTCTCATAAAATGAGAGGTTTAGGACTGCTCCATTAAACTGATCTGCTATCAGCTGACCAGAATAGAGCAGCTTACAATAATGAACAAAAGAAATTATGATGTCACATAGCACAGTGTTACCTGTTGGAATTCACTCTTGCTAGATGTTGAAATGGCCATTAACACAATGGATCTCCCCCCCCCAAAAAAAAATGACTAGATAAAAGTTGGGAATGGTGTGACCCACCTGGTCGTGTTGGACTGCAGGTTTCCGCAGCCCTAGCCCACATAGCCATTGGTGAAGAATGCTGGAAGTTGTAATCTAACAACATCTGAAGGGCTGCATGATTGTCAATTCCTGAACTAGACCAATCTATAGAAAATATATCTAACAGGCATAATAGCTAAATGAAGCATTTATATTCAGAAGCAGTATACTTCTTGATACCAGATGTTAGGAATGTACAATGGAGAAGTTTGCTTGCCATGAAAGCTTGTTAGTTCTGGAAACAGCAGAACTTGGGACAGTTAATTTCTTTGGACTACAGTATAGAACCAGCATGGTGTAATAGAGTGGACTAGGACAGAGACAGACCAGGGTTCAGATCACCATTGGGGCATGGACACCCAGTGAATCATAAAATAACAGAATTTGAAGAGACCACAAGGGCCATCCAGTCCAAACCCCTGCCATGCAGGAACTCACAATCAAAGCACCCCTGACCAATGGCCACCCAGGCTCTGTTTAAAAACCTCTAAAGAAGGAGGTTACACCACAATGAGGTGGAACACACTCCCTTAGAGTGTGGTGGAGTCCCCTTCTTTGGAGGTTTTTAAACAGAGTCTGGGTGGCCATCAGTCAGTGCTTTGATTTTGAGTTCCTGCATGGCAGGGAGTTGGACTGGATGGCCCTTGTGGTCTCTTCAAATTCTGTGATTCTATGATTCACTACAAGGGAGCATATTCCACTGTCAAACAGTTCTTACTGTCAGAAAGTTCTTCCTAAAGTTTAGGTGGAATCTATTTTCTTGTAGCTTGCATCCACTGCCCCATGTCCTATTCTCTGGAGCAGCAGACAACAAGCTTGCTCCATCCTCAGTGTGACACCCCTTCAAATACTTAAACAGGGCTATCATATCACCTCTTAACCATCTCTTCTTCACGCTATACCCAGTTCCTTAAGTCTCTCCTTATAAGACATGGTTTCCAGACCTTCACCATTTTGGTTGCCCTCCTCTGGACATGTTCCAGATAACCTTGGACAAGTCACATTCTCTAAACATCAGATGAAGGCAAACCCCCTCTGAACAAATCTTGCCAAGAAAATGCTATCTGGGAGCTATAGGGTCCCCATAAGTTGGAAATGACTTGAAGGCACACAACCATGTAGTCCAAAAAGGTAACTTCTCCATTCTCTAGAAAGGAGGATCTAGACTAGATAGATCCTCACTCTAATGGGACAAAATATATTTTTGTTGCTTAAAAGTTGATATGGATGGCTTACACTGTGAACACAAAACAGATATGGAGTAATGAAGCTTGATTAAAATCTTGCCATTTGTGTAAGGGAAGAAAGGAACAACCTTAATCTGAATTATCTTTCATAACTACTAGACATAATTATGATTCATCAAAGTCATACCCACAAATCACATGGACTGAAATGCTTTATCCAATGGCAGGACATTAATATTAAAATACCCATTATGCTTTCTTTTTTATTGACTTGTTAATTTTCTTCATTTCTCAAATAAGAAACGCAACATGAGAAGACACTGTCTCCTAGTTCAATCCTCAGCATTATCTGAGCAAGATAAAGGGAGAAAACACAAGGATGGTCATCAGCCAGTCCAGAAGTCATTATAGGAGGTCCAAAATCCAGTTCCATGAGCCAGCAAGAAGTACACAGAATAGACTAAAACGTAGCCAGGGCAAGTTCATGAAAACAGGAATTCGAGAGAATACTGCCAGCTAACCAGATAAGACAGTTGTTAGCACTAATGCTGAGAGAGAACTGCCAGGGTATTTATGGGCAACTTCTTCAAGGCCACAGATATCGAATTAGTGCCTAATTAGGTCAGTGTCCATTATTTAA